TAAGCCTCCAGCCAGATTTATCAAAAAGAAAAGAGAAAGGACTCAAATAAATAAAATCACAAATGAGAGAGGAGAAATAACACCACTACAGACATATAAACAATTATTAAGAGAATATCATGAAAAACTATATGCCAACAAATTGGACAACTTACAAGAAATGAAAAAAATCCTAGAAACAAATAAATTACCAAAACTGAAACAAGAATAGAAAATTTGAACAGACTGATAAACAGCAAAGAAATTGAATCAGTAATCAAAAAACTTCCAACAACAAAAAAAAAGCCCGGGACCAGATGGCTTCACAGGCGAATTCTACTAAACATTTAAAGAAGAGTGAATACCTATTCTTCTCAAACTATTCCAAAAAATAGCAAAGGAAAGAAAACTTTCAAATTCATCCTATGAGGCCAGCATTAACCTAAAACTAAAACCAGATAAAGACACCACCAAAAAAGAGAACTACAGGCTAGTATCTCTGATGAACATAAATACAAAATGCTCAGCAAAATACTAGCAAACCAAATCCAACAATACATTTAAAAAATCATTCACCATGATTAAGTGGGACTTATTCTTGGGTTGCCAGGGTGGTTCAATGCTCGCATATCAGTCGATGTGATATGTTCCCATAAATAAAAGAAAGGATAAGAACCATGTGATCATTTTAATAGATGAAAAAGAAGCATTTGACATAGTACAACATAAATCCATGATAAAAACTCTCAACGAAGTAGGTTTAGAAGGAATATACCTCGACATAGCAAAGACCATATGTGAAAAACTCACAGCTAACATCAATCTCAAATGGGGGAAAACTGACAGCTTTTCCTCTACAGTCAGGAATAAGACAGAGATGTCCAATCTCACCACTTTTATTCAACATAGGACTGGAAGTTCTAGCTACAGCAATCAGACAACAACAACAACAACAACAATAAATAAATAAATAAATAAATAAATAAATAAATAAATAAATAAATAAATAAATAAAATGGCATCCAAACTGGCAAAAAAAGAAGTAAAACTTTCACTATTTGCAGATTACATGATATAATATATAGAAAACCCAAAAGATTCCATCAAAAAGCTACTAGTACTGATAAATGAGTTCAGCAAAATCACAGAATACAAAATCAACATACAGATATCTGTTGCATTTCTATACACCAGTAAAGAAGCAGCAGAAAGAGAGATTAAGAAAACAATCCCATTTACAACTGCACCAAAAAACAAGAAACCTCAGAATAAACCTAACCAAAGAGGTGAAAGACCTGTACTCTGAAAACTATAAAACACTGATGAAAGAAATTGAAGGTGACACAAAGAAATGGAAAGATATTCCATGCTCATGGATTAGAAGAACACATATTATTAAAATGTCTATACTACCAAAAGCAATCTACACATTTTATGCAATATCTATCAAAATATCAACAGCATGTTTCACAGAACTAGAATGATCCTAAATTTTGTATGGAACCACAAAAAACCCAAATAGCCAAAGCAATCTTGAAAAAGAAAAACAAAGCTGGAGGTATCACAATTCCAGACTTCAATTTATATTACAAAGCAGTAGTAATCAAAACAATATGGTACTTGGCATAAAAATGGACACAGATCAATAGAACAGAATAGAAAACCCAGAAATGAACTCACAATTATGTGGTCAATTAATCTTTGACAAAGCAGGAAAAAATATCCAATGGGAAAAAGACTGTCTCTTCAAAAAATGATGTCAAGAAAACTGGACAGCAACAGGCAAAAGAATAAAACTGAACCACTTTCTTTCACCATACACAAAAATAAATTCAAATGGATTAAAAACCTAAATGTGAGACGGGAAACCACAAAAGTCCTTGAAGAAAATACAGGCAGTAATTTTTCTGACATCAGCCATAGCTACATTTTTTTGATAGGTGTCCCAAGGCAAGGGAAGCAAAAGCAAAACTAAGCTATTGGAACAACATCAAAATAAATAACTTCTGCAAAGCAAAGGAAACAAGCAACAAAACTAAAAGGCAACCTAGGAAATGTGAGAAGATATTTGCAAATGACATATTCAAAGAGGATTAGTATCCAAAAAATATGTAAAGAACTTATAAAACTCAACACCCAAAAAATGAATAATCCAATTAAAAATGGGCAGAACACATGAACAGACATTTCCCCAAAGAAGACATACAGATGGCCAACAGACACATGAAAAGATGCTCAACATCACTTATCAGGGAATTGCAAATCAAAACTACAAGATATCACCTCACACCTGTCAGTATGGCTAAAATCAACAAGAAACAACAGGTGTTGTGAAGATGTAAAGAAAGGGGAACTCTCATGCACTGTTGGTGGGAATGCAAACTGGTGCAGCCACTCTGGAAAACAGTATGGAGGTTCCTCAAAAAGTTAAAAATAGAACTATCTTATGATCCAGCAATCACATTACTAGGTATTTACCCAAAGAATATAAAAGTACTAATTCAAAAGGATACACGTACCCCGATTGTTATAGCAGCCTTCTTTACAATAGCCAAATTATGGAAACAGCCCAAGTGTCCATCAACTGATAAATGGATAAAGAAGCTGTTATATATATATATACACACACACACAATGGAATATTAGCCAGAAAAAAGAATGAAACTTGCCATTTGCAATGACATAGATGGAGCTAGAGAGTATTATGCTAAATGAGATAAGTCAGTAAGAAAAAGACAAATACCAAATGATTTCATTCATATCTGCAATTTAAGGAATAAAACAATCAAACAAAGGGGGGATAAAAGAGAGAGAGAAACCAAGAAACAGACTCTTAACTATAGAGAACAAACTGATGGTTACTAGAGGGAAGGGGAGAGAGGTGATAGGGATCAAGGAGGGCACTTGTCGTGGTGAGCACTAGGTGTTGTATGGAAGTGTTAAATTAGATTATATACCTGAAACTAATATTACACTCTATGTTAACTAACTGGAATTTAAATAAAAACCTTAAAAAATCTAAAATAGAAAAAGAAAACTTCAAATTTAAAAAAAGGCATTTAACTGGATTTAAGTATCCCAGAAAACAAAATAATTTAAGGGATTTGGAAATATCAAAAAAGCAATCCTCATCAAGAAGTCTAGGATAATGTTTCCCAACCTCAAATCTGGCACATATTAAAAAAAAAATTGTACTCACAAAAATTTTTATAAAGTTCCAGAAGAAAAATCACTTAAAAATGTCACATGCTCTTATTGTACACACTGTACAGAGGTAATGAAGAATGTGAGAGGGGCGCCTGGGTGGCTCAGTCGTTAGCGTCTGCCTTCGGCTCAGGTCATGATCCCAGGGTCCTGGGATCGAGCCCCGCATTGGGCTCCCTGCTCCACGGGAAGTCTGCTTCTCCCTCTCTCACTCCCCCTGCTTGTGTTCCCTCTCTCTGTCAAATAAATAAAATCTTAAAAAAAAAAAAAAAAGAATGTGAGAAACATCTAACAATTATAGGGCATCAAAGTTTAACAAGGTCTGGAATCATCAATCTAGAGTTTTTACTATACAGGGAAAAACACTAACAAAATTAAATTTTTAAGAGAATAATCTCATTATTTCAGCATATAGTAACTAAACTATAGTATAGCTAAAGAAAATATTTTCCCAAAAGTGGCCATAACCATAGAAACCAAGATGTCATTTATTAACAGACATCTTATATTAATCCATAATTACTCTTTAAAAATGTCAATAGCTTATCCAGTAGTCCCCCATTACCCACAAAGGATACCTTCGGAGATCCCCAGTGAATGCCTGAAATTGTGGATAGTACCAAGTCTTATGTATACTGTTTTTTCCTATTCTTACATACCTACAATAAAGTTTAATTTATAAATTAGGCACAGTAAGTGATTAACAACAATAACTAATAATACAATAGAACAATTATAACAATATTCTGTAATAAAAGTTATATGAATATAATCTCTTTCTATTTCAAATATCTTATTGTACTGTACTCACCTTTCTCCTTGTGATGATATGAGAGGATAAAATGCCTACATAATGAGATGCAGTGAAGTGAATGGTGTAGGCATTGTGACGTAGCATTAGGCTACTACTGACCTTCAAGGAAAGATACATCAGAAGGAAAATATGCTTCTGAACCACAGCTGATTGCAGGTAAGTGAAACTATGGAAAGCAAAACTGCAGGTAAGGGGAGACTACTGTACTACAACTACTCATTCAACTTTATGCAAGTTTCTCTTCATCACAAGTTCAGAGTACAAAAAATGAGCCAAGCTTCCAAAGGATTCATCACATTCCAAGTTGAAATGAAATTAAAACTAAGTAGAAATATGCCCTCAAGGCCATCTAAGTATACTTTTCTTTATGTTTACACACCTTTTAAAATACTTTATCCAGGCTATCTTCATTAAAAAGAAGGTTTTTACAAAGGAATTAAGTTTCCCTATCCAGATATGGAAATGTAAAACATGCAAGAAGAGAGGGATGAAAACAGGAAAGAAACGCTGGCCTCAGAAGGAATCAAATATAAAGAGAATTAGAGATATTATGTATTATAATAAGGAGAAAAAAAACACATACCTCTAGCTATGTGACTAGAACTCAAGGAATTTAGATGAGAGAACTGCAGCAAAGAAACTGCCTTTTCCACTACAAGCTACATGTAGTGAAAAGAAAATATAGCTATAGAGTATATTTTACCCTTTTCAACAGGGTTTATTATAGAAAGGATATTTCAAGTAATTATTTCAATCAACAACTTACTTTGTTTCCAAATGGGTATTTTATATATGCTAGATTTGAATGAAAATAACACAGTAATTTTAAACCACTAGTTTTTATTGTCCATTTTCCAACCAGTGGTCCACGTCTTGGGGTTTCCTTTTATCTCCCTGTTCACAAAGCTACTTCCAAATGCCTACACTTTTCTAAAGTGTTTATGTCCCCTAGCTTCTGATTGCTAACTTAGTTAAGACCTGATTACAGCTGAGGAAGAGGCCTCTATTTTATTTCTATATGAAAGACACCCTCCACTTTGAAGGCCAGGACCTGTTCTTTCTTGATATTAGACAAATCTTCAGGGGCAGGATCCAGTTCTAAAGGCTCTTCAAGTTTTTGCTGATCTTCCAAAACCAGTGATTCTAATTTTACCACTGGGACATCTGTTGTCTGGAGATATTGATATTCAGTCGACATATGTTCTACCAAAGCTTCATTTACAGCAATGTGTTCAGATGGTGGAGGCTGAACTTTAGCAAGGACATCTTCTATAGAGATTTGTGTAATAAAGTCCTCTTCAGCTGCTGGAAACTATTTGTCAACAGGGACCATTTCTAAAGTAGTTTCTTCATCTGATGGATGAAGTTCAATGAGGACTCCTCCAGCTGGTGCAGACCCAACTTCAGCTGGGGTATCTTCTTTAGGGACCTCCTCTGCTGGTGGAGACCAAATTTCAGCTGAGGCGTCCTCAGCTGGTGCAGACCAAACTTCAGCTGGGGTATCTTCTTTAGGGACCTCCTCCGCTGGTGGAGACCAAATTTCAGCTGAGGCCTCCTCAATCGGTGGAGACCAAATTTCAGCTGAGGCCTCTTCTGCAGGGCTTGCCTCAGCTGGTAGATACCAAACTTCATCTGGGGCCTCTTCTGCAGGAGCCTCCTCAGCTGGTGGAAAATGTACTTCATCTGGAGCCTCTTCTGCAGGAGCCTCCTCAGCTGATGGAAACTGTACTTCATCTGGAGCCTTTTCTGCAGGAGCCTCCTCAGCTGGTAAAGACCAAATTTCATCTGGAGCCTCTTCTTCAGGGCCCTCATCAGCTGGTGGAGACCAAACTTCACCTTGGGCCTCTTCTGCAGGAGCCTCCTCAGCTGGTGAAGACTGAACTTCAGGAGATGTCTCAGCTGGTGGAAGCTGAACTTCAGTTGGGACCTCTTCTGCCAGGGTCTCCTCAGCTGGTGGAGACTGAACTTCAGGAGATGTCTCAGCTGGTGGAAGCTGAACTTCAGTTGGGACCTCTTCTGCCGGGGTCTCCTCAGCTGGTGGAGACTGAACTTCAGGAGATGTCTCAGCTGGTGGAGGCTGAACTTCAGCTGGGGCCTCTTCTGCAGGGGTCTCTTCAGCTAGTGGAGGCTGAACTTCAGCTGGGGCCTCTTCAGAGAAGGCCTCCTCAGCTGGTGAAGACTGAACTTCAGCTGGGGCCTCTTCTGCAGGGGCCTCCACAGCTGGTGAAAGCTGAAGTTCTGGGGCCTCTTGTGTAGGAGGCTCTTCAGCTGATAGAGGCTGAACTTCAGCATAAGCCTCTTCTGAAAAAGCCTTTTCAGCAGGGATAAACTCTACTTTAGCAGGGGCCTCTTCTGCAGGAGTCTCCTCAGCTGGGGAAAGCTGTACTTCAATAGAAGCTTCTTCAACTTTTGGAGACTGAACTTCATCAGGAGGCCCTTCTGAAAGAGCCTCTTCACCCAGTGTGGGCTCTACTTTAGCAGGGGCCTCTTCTGCAGGAACCTCTTCAGTTGGTGGAGGCTGAAGTACAGTTGGGGAGTTTTCTGTAGTAGTCTCCTCAGCTGGCAGAGGTTGCACTTCAGCAGAGATCTCTTCTGCAGTGGGAGGCTGTACTTCACCTAGAACATACTGCTCATCTTCTGAAAATTCCAAAGAACCTTTTTTGCTTTGTTGACCAAATAGAAATCTGCTATGTATCTGCCCAATTGCTTCATCTTTACTTGTTGAGGGTTGCAATTCAGGATGTTCACTAATGAAAAACTTCCCTGAGGATTTACGTTTCTGCACAACTTCATTTGACTTTGAAAAAGAGCTATCTGGCCTGCCAATAACCATTATTTCTGTTTCACTAAAGTACGTCTGCTGTTCCTTGTCCACTTTTTGAGGAATGTTCATCATTGTCCAGTCTCCAGTACAACTAGTCTGCTGAGATCTATCTATTTTGAATTGAACTGAATGTCTGCTTGGTGGAATTTCTACTTCCTGAACACTCTCTGGAAAGTCAGGGACTGCTTCTCCAACAGCAGCTAGCTTTTCTTCAGGTATCACTGTTTCACTAATTGACATGATTTCTTCTTTTTTCTCTTCTACAGTAGCGTCTGTTTGCAGAGATTTATCAGTCATATCCTGTACACGCTTTCTCTTTGTCCAAGTTTGCTGAAGTTGAGAAGATACTCTGAGAGACTCATAGTTGACTTTGCTTCCAGGAATATTACCAATACTAAGGGTAGCTTTAGGGCCAGATGATTGTGCTATAGGCAAGTGTTTCTTTTTCTCTGTCACTTCAGTCTGCTGGGATTTGTCTACCATTGGTTGGCTGGGTCGTCTTCTCTTTCGAATTTCTTGTCTCCCTGCTGAGATAGGCTGATCAGGTTCATCACCTTCTTCCATTTCTAAAACTGGTGAATTTCAAACATATTACTCTTCAAGTAATTAATCATCAAGAATCACAAATGTACCAGATAGGTAAGCCTTTGTCTTTCTTCATTAAGTGTTGTTCTGTTGAGCTACCTTAGAAAAAAGTAATTAATAAATTACTGCATTCTGTACTACACTCTTGTTGGATCCCACCTCAGTAAGCATCTCTCTTGTTTAGTCTCTCATATGACTAATCTCACTTCTAGAAGTTTCCCTTAAAGGTCTATGACATCACAGTCAATTCTCCCTACAAGGTTACATTGGTGGTGTTCCAAGCACATTTTAACTTGGTATAAACACTCATAAACAATGGCTACAAGTGAGAGAGCTACTATTTGAAACATCAAGTTGAAAAAAGCATTTGTCTATCAGAGGGACATCAAGTAAACTCCAGTAATGTTGCTTCCTAATTGTTGAAAGTGTTGTTTTTGAACTTTCAATTCTGTTATTTTCACCCTACTATCAAAGACAGTTATATTGCAGAACTCAGAATGCTGCAGCCTATTTTCAATTGTTGGAGAAAACAAATGATATATGTATGTGGCAATGTTCTATCAAAATGTATACTTACCTGATTTAGAAGAAAGTGAATATTGTTTTAAAAATTTGAGTTCTGAGGTCCATTCCATGTAAACTCCATTCCTCTGTCCTCAGCACTCAGGAACTACAAGAGTCTACTATCTATATTGATAGTAGGATATATAGATATAGATATATATGTATATATATATATACTACCTATATATTATAAATGCAAATATGGTACCTATATATATAGCATATTTGCATTCTCAAACAACTTGAGATATTTTTATTTTCAACTATTTCAGAAAATAGTTCCACCCAAAGTTTGCCAAATAAAAGAATGTTAAGTCTAAAGATCTGTCAAATGAAATAAAATGCCTTTTTAAATATACAAGCTACTGAATAGCCACCTAGGAATAAATTCCCCAATGAAGATAAAACTGTAAACTGAAGCCTTGAAATAGAGGAAACCCAGTTAAGCAAATTATAAATGATATTATAATAGATTAGGAATGTAAATAAAACTTTAACTTACACATCTCACAAAAATTTTACTAGCAAGATGAAAATATATCAAAAGATGTGCAAAAAACACATCACTTTGGTCTACAGAAAGTTAAAGGGAAGAAAACAGACTTCAAAAATGTAGTCACAGAGACAAACATATCTAAACAATCATTATGACTTGATTAACCTAGAAATATTTTTAAATTTCTTTATGCCTCAAGGAAATATAAAAATGTCATTGAATAATTACACTTGTTTGACATGCATTAGTCTTAATTGTAGTTAGGTCATCTTAGCCAAATAAATTAACATTTTTCACATTCTTTGACCCAGTTCCTAAAACAACCTCAGTCTCTTGGTAGGGATCAGTGAATATTTGTTCAGTATAATTGGATGAATGTGTTAAAAACCATGTTGCTTGTCTTACAGCTCAACTGGCTCTGCTTTAATTTTTGTCCATTCTGCTTCACTATGTTCTATCTTTCTAAGAATTAATAAAGTGAAGTATAACAATAGTCATTTTACAAAAGAACTGACATAGGTTTTCATCAGACTGGCTATAGTTTGAAAATTAGGTTGTTTATCAACCTCTTTGTGGTCTGGTGTTCTCAACTGCATCTGTCACACATTGCATGTGTCTTTTGTAATCAAGTTTCTGAGATTTTATAGAATATCTTCAAAGTCCATTTGGGGTTGATTTATAACAAGAAATAAATTTCAAAACCAACATTTTATTCATTGGATTATGCAATTGCATGTACTGGATTAATTTTGCTGCCTCAACTTAAATAAGATTTTACCAAATCTTCCATAGCTATAACTTGAATTTTCAATATCAGTTAAAATTTCAATTTCTAATTATTTGATATTTACTTTCCCCTCCAAGAAATAATAAAGAATTTGATCAATCTTAATTATACACCAACCTATTGCACTAAGCTGCCTTTATCACTAGCTTATTTATAGAAACAAATTAGCATGCCTAAATAATCAATTAAAAATTTACTTGAGGGCGCCTGGGTGGCTCAGTTGGTTAAGCGACTGCCTTCGGCTCAGGTCATGATCCTGGAGTCCCAGGATTGAGTCCCACATCGGGCTCCCTGCTCAGCGGGGGGTCTGCTTCTCTCTCTGACCCTCTTCCCTCTCGTGCTCTCGGTCTCTCATTCTCTCTCTCAAATAAATAAATAAAATCTTTAATAAAAAAAAAATTAAAAAAAAAATTTAAAAATTTACTTGAGATTCCAAATGGAATTACAAGGGATTTCATAGAGCAGTTTCTCATTACATTTCTTAAATCCACAAATGCTCCTTTTCCCCTGCTGATCTACCTACCCAACTAATCATTATTCAACCTATCTTGTCAATTTAGGATTTGGTATTTTACCCTTTGTTCTAGAAATCTACATGATTCCATTTTCTCCCATTTACTTGGTTCACATCTGTTATGGATTGAATTGTGTATCCCAAAAAGATGTGTTGGGTACTGTGAATGTGACGTTATTTGGTAAAAGGATCTTTGCAAATGTAATCAGGTCAAGTGGTTCTTATAAAAAGAGTGGGAAAAGACACAGAGGGAAGATGTTCATGAGAAGATGGAGGCAGAGATTTGTGTTATGCTGCCATAAGGCAAGGAATACCTAGGGCTACTAGAAGCTGAAAGAAGCAGGCTTCAGAGGGAGCATGGCTCTGCCAATGATTTGGGACTTCAAGCCTCTAGAACTGTGAGAGAATAAAGTTCTGTTGTTTTAACCCAGTATGTGGTACTTTATTACAGCAGCTCTAGGACACTAATACAACATTCTTTCAGGACCCCATATTTCTGATTTCTGCTTGGAATGCTGTACTCCAACTCTTTCTCAATCTCTAGAGCTAGTTTCTTTATTTCTAATTCAGGTCTGGCATTTGGTTTCACACAATATTTGACTCATTTCCATAATCATAAAACCAGAAGGATTTGCTGAAAGGCTTCTACGTGATGATTTACATTTAATGTTAGCACAAACAAATTTGCAAAGTAGCCCTTAATTTCATTTTTTATTATAATAACTTGGAAAGCTATCATTTAGAAGTGGCAGAGATATTTCAAATCAATGTAAACCAAATATCTAAACTGTGACCTATATTGCTTTGTTCTCAGTATATCAAATAAGGTGAAGTCTGAAAAATGCCCACTGGATATAATAACTATAAGATTATTGGTAATTTTAGTAAGAGCAGTTTCAGTGAAAGGGTGGGAATAGATGCCATAAAATTCTAAAATCTCTGTGAATTAAAAGTAAAATTAAAGTGCAATGAAAATCTAGGAAAAATAAGTGCAAACTATCACGTAGACAAAGAGCTGTATTTAATATACTAAAAGATTTTAGAAATCAATATAAAGGTAACAATAGAAAAATTAACAAAGGACATGAATAAAAAAATTATAGAAGAAAAATAAGTGAACAATAAATATATAAAAGAGATCAAGTTCACTTCTAAAATAAAAATTAAAATACCAATGTAACATTAGCAAATATTTATTTTAAAGTTAATACCCCCCAAAAGTGAAAGTATTATTAAATGGATAGCTTCATACATTACTGGCAGAAGTTTGAATTGATACAAACTTTATTCTGGATAATCTGAAAGTAAATATCAAATATTTCTAAAATGTGCATACTATTTGCCCACAATTTTACTTCCAATTCTACTTAATTTTTGGAAATAATTATTACCTCAAAAAATATGTATTGAGTATCTATATATTCTAGGGACATTGCCAGGTATTGAGGAAACAAGAACACAAAAAGACATTGTTCCCTATCCTTGTGAATCTCACAGTCCATTGGGAGAAACTGAATAAACAAATATAAAAATTGTAAAAAATATTGTTAAGTAGTGAAGAGAAAATATATTTTACCTGGAGTAATAGGACCAAAAGGGTTTTTTTTTTTTAAATATTTTATTTATTTAATTGAGAGAGAGAATGAGATAGAGAGAGAGAGCATGAGACAGGGGAGGGTCAGAGGGAGAAGCAGACTCCCTGCCGAGCAGGGAGCCCGATGCGGGACTCGATCCTGGGACTCCAGGATCATGACCTGAGCTGAAGGCAGTCGCTTAACCAACTGAGCCACCCAGGTGCCCCTTTTTTTAAAAATATTTTATTTCCAAAAGGGTTTTATAGGAGAGAGCATCTAATTGAGAAAGCATCCAAGGGAGTAACAATAGAAAGAAAATTCTAAAAACTGTAAGAAAAATCTGCTGTGGCAAGAGGAAAGGCTAAGTGAGCAAAGGAAATCATTCATTAGAATATGCTGGAAGAAGTAGATAGGGGACTGATGATGCATTGACTTGCAAACTCTAAGTATTGTTATTTTGGATCTAACAATTATAAATATTTATGCACCCAATATCAGAATACCTAAATATACAAAACAAATATGAAGAGATCCGAAGGGATAAGTAGACAACAACACAATAAAAGTAAATGAGTCGATTACTCTGCCGTCATTAATGAATAGATAATCCAGATAGAAAATTAATAAGAAAACTTGGCCTTGAACTACACTTTAGATCAGATGGACCTCACAGACGCATATAGAACATTCTTTCCAACAGCAAGAAAATAAACATTCTTCTCTAACACAGACAAAACATTCTTTAGGATAGATCATATGTTATCTGACAAAACAAGTTTTTTAAACATTTGAGAAAACTGAAATCATATCAAGCATCTTTGCTAATCACAATGGTATGAAATTAGAAATCAATTACAAGAAGATAACAGGAAAATTCACAAGTATATGGATGTTAATCAACATATTGCTGAACAACCAACCCCAGGCATAAACATATGGCTACCTGAGAGAACCACCTCCACAACAACATTCACTATCTAACATGTTTACACCAAGCCCTGCCCCCCCACCCCAGGCTTTGGCAGATCTGCCTTTTCTAGTCACACTTGCTTCAGTCCCAAAACTGCAGGTCCTCTACCAAGCAAACCTTGCCAACAAAGCATCTACTGGCCCACACACCGTGCAGGGCCTTGGTCCCCACTGCAGTGGTGGCAGCAGCAGTGGTGGAAACTGCAAGTCTCATTCACAAGCAGGTTGGTGTACACCTTGTTAAAACTGTGTGCCCCATCCCAGCTGGCCCAGCCCCCCTACTATGCTCTTAGCTGGAGTCCATTCAAACGAGGGTCACCAGCCTGGCAGTGTGCAAGCAGCCCTGATAGGGACCGTCACCACTCCAAAGTGAATCCTTCCCTGGAATGAGGGAAGATAACCACACACAGCAGTCACATGGCACCCCCAGCCAGGGGCTGGGAGCAGACAGTTGGTCTGATTATAGGCCCTGCCCATTAATGAGAACATCTCAGTGGAAGGCACAGGGAAAGTGCCCTGCATTTTGGTACTATTGCCTCTCTGGCAAATGCCTGGTCTGACCCAACTCAAGCCCAAGGGGGTCCCAGACTAGTCCACTAACCAAAAGAAACCAAACACTGCCCACAATAGACAAAGAGAGACACTGTAGACAAATGGACTGAAAGAAAAAGCAGCCAAGGCAAAACAGCAGGGTGAATGCAATACATATAGGAGATACCCCTGAAGTCCAGCTTCTGGTGAACAGGGGACACTGCATTGGCACTACAGGACCTCTTCCTCATAAGGCCATTGCTTTCAGGAGCGAGAGATATAGCAGACTTTCCTAACACATAGAAACAGACACAGAGAGTTAGACAAATTGAGGAGACAGAGAAATATGTCCCAAGTGAAAGAATAAGACAAAACCACAGCAAGAGGCGTAAGCATTTTATTTTATTTTTAAATTATTTATTTATTTATTTACAGAGAGAGAACACAAGCAGGCAGAGTGGCAGGCAGAGGAAGAAGGAGAAGCAGGCTCTCTGCTGAGCAGGGTGCCAGATGTGGGGTTAGATCCCAGGATCCGGGATCATGACCTGAGCCAAAGGCAGCTGCTTAACTGACTGAGCCACCCAGGCACCCCAAGGCCTAAGCATTTTTAAATGGATAAAAGTAATTATGCCTGCTAGAGAATTTAAAGTAATGATCATAAAGATACTCACTGGACTTGAAAAAAAAGTGGAGGACATCTGTGAGACCTTTGACAAAGAGAGAAAAAAGAACCAATCAGAGATGAAGAATACAATACATGAAATTAAAAATACACTAGATGGGGAGAGTCCAAGATGGCAGGGGAGTAGGAGACCTTAGTTTAGTCTGGTCCCAGGAATTCAGCTAGATAGATATCAAATCATTCTGAACACTCTATGAACTCAACCGGAGATCAAAGAAAAGAAAAGCTGCAACATTTTGAATAGAAAAGTGACCACTTTCTGCAAGGTAGGAGGTGCAGAGAAGTGAATCCGAGGCAATATATGGGAATATAGACTGTGGGGGGCGGGAGCCTCTGTCAGCCAGCTATCAGCAAGTGATAGAGCGGCAGAGCACTAAATTGGAAATTTTTAGAAGTCTGCTCCAGTGATGGACATCACTTAGGAGGCTAAGCAGGGGCAGAACCCTAGCTGGGACAGTGTGGTCTCAGGCCCCTCAGAGTCACAGGAAGACCAGGGGTGCCTGTGTGTAACAGAGCTCTCAGGCAACAGAGCAGGGAAGCCAGCTACAAAGAGTGAGCCCAGGAGTGGGTTGGTGAGGATGCAGAGAAAGGGAAACCGTCCTACACTATTTGTGGGAATGCAAGCTGGTGCAGCCACTCTGAAAAACAGTTACAAAAAGTAACAAAATGGCAGTATGGAGCTTCCTCAGAAAGTTGAAAATAGAGCTACCCTATGACCCAGCAATTGCACTACTGGGTATCTACCCCAAAGATATGAATGTAGTGATCCAAAGAGGCACCTGCACCCCAATGTTTATAGCAGCAATGTCCACAATAGCCAAACTATGCAAAGAGCCCAGATGTCCATTGACAGATGAATGGATAAAGAAGAGGTGGTAATAGAATATTATACAGTCATCAAAAAATGAAATCTTGCCATTTGCAATGATGTGGATGGAACTAGAGGGTATTATGCCAAGTGAAATAAGTCCACCAGAGAAAGACAATTATCATATGATCTCACTAATATGTGGAATTTAAGAAACAGAGAATGATAGGGGAAGAGAGGAAAAAATAAAAAAAGATGAAACCAGAGAGAGAGATAAACCATAAGAGATTCTTAATCATAGGAAACATTCTGAGGATTGCTGGAGGGGAAGGGGATGGAGGTATGGGGTAACTGGGTGATGGACATTAAGGAAGGCATGTGATGTAATGAGCACTGGGTATTATATAAGACTGATCAAGCACAGGCCTCTACCTCTAAAACCAGTAATACATTATATGTTAACTGAATTTAAATTTAAAATTTTTAAATAAATAAATACATACCTACCTACATACATACATACACTAGACAGAATAAGTAGACTAGAAGAGACAGGGAATGAATTAGTGACCTGGAGGACAGAGTAATGGAAAGTAATCAACCTGAGTAGGTGAGAGAGAAAAAATTACACAAAATCAGAATAGACATAGGGAACACAGTGATTCTATCAAGCATAACATTTCAGTATATGGATCCCAGAAGAGAGAGAAAAGGGGGCAGAAAATTTATTTGAAGAAATAAAAGCTGAAAACTTTCCTAATCTGAGGAGAGAAACATATCCACATCCAGAAGGCACAAAGATTCCCCCCAAAAATCAACCCAAGGAGGTCTACACCAAGACACAGAGTATTTAAATGGCAAAAAATAATGATAAAGAAAAAATTTTTAAAGCAGCAACAGGAGAGAAGACAGTTATATACAATGAAAACCCCGTAAGGCTATCAGTGGATTTTTCAACAGAAACTTTGCAGGCAAGAAGAAAGTGGCATGATATATTTAAAGTGCAGAAAGGGAAAAATGTGCAGCAAAGAATACTCTACCCAGCAAAGCTATCATTCAGAATAGAAGAAGAGATAAAGAGTTTCCCAAACAAAAGCTAAAGGAGTTCATGACCACTAAACCAGCCCAACAAGAAATGTTAAAGGGGACTTGCCAAGTGGAAAGTAAAGACCATAAGTCAGAAATGTAGGAAGCACAAAAGCAGTAAAAATAAGTATATCTTAAAATACTTAAAACAAGGGTGCCTGGGTGGCTCAGTTGGTTAAGTGACTGCCTTCGGCTCAGGTCATGACCCTGGAGTCCTGGGATCGAGTCCCGCATCGGGCTCCCTGCTTGGCAGGGAGTCTGCTTCTCCCTCTGACCCTCCCCCCTCTCATGTACTCGCTCTCTCTCATTCTCTCTCTCTCAAATAAATAAATAAAATCTTTAAAAAAAAAATACTTAAAACAAAAATAAGTATATCAGTCCAGGTACACAAAAAATAAAAGGTATGACAACACTTACCTAAAATGTGGGGTGAGAGGAGTAAAGAAAGTTTCAAATATCAACTTAATATAGACTGCTATATGCAGATGTTATATATAAACTGAATGGTAACCACAAATCAAAACATAGTAATAGATATGCAAAGTATAAAGAGAAAGGAATCCAAATATATTACTAAAGAAAGCTAGCAAACCATAAGAGAAGAGATCAACAGAAGAAAGGATCAGAGAACTATAAAACAACCAGAAAAAGTAACAAAATGGTGGGGCGCCTGGGTGGCTCAGTCGTTAAGCGTCTGCCTTTGGCTCAGGTCATGATCCCAGGGTCCTGGGATCGAGTCCCTCATTGGGCTCCCCTGCTCAGTGGGAAGCCTGCTTCTCCCTCTCCCACTCCCCCTGCTTGTGTTCCCTCTCTCACTGTCTCTCTCTGTCAAATAAATAAATAAAATCTTTAAAAAATAACAAAATGGCAATAAATACATACCTACCAATAATTACTTTGAATATAAATGGACTAAACACTCCAATCAAAAGACATAGGGTGATAGAATGGATTTAAAAACAAGACCAATTTATATGCTATAAATAAGAAATAATTTCAAGCCTACTTACATTGAAAGTAAGGGAATGGAGAAATATTTACCATGCAAATGGATGTCAAAAGAAAGCCAGGGGAGCAATGGGTACTCCAGTTAAAATACACATTAAAACAAAGACCGTAACAAGAGACAAAGAAGGATATTATATAAAGGGGACAATCTAACAAGACAATATAATAATTGTAAAAGTTTATGTACCCAACATGGGAGCACTCAAATACATAAAACAGTTAATAGCAAACATAAAGGAACTCACCGATACTACTACAATAATAATAGGGGACTTTAACACCCCATTTACATCAATGAATAGATGATCCAAACAAAATCAACAAGGAAAGAGGGTCTTTGAATGACACACTCGACCACATGGATTCTACAGATATATCCAGAACATCCCATTTTAAAGGTACAGAATACACAATCTTTTTAAGTGCGCATGGAACATTCTTTAGAATAGATTACATAATAGGCCACAAAACAAGTTTCAATAAATTCAACAAGATCAAAGTCACACCGTGCATCTTTTCTGACCACAATGCTATCAAACTAGAAGTCAACCACAAGAAAAACTCTGGAAAGAGCACAAATACATAAAGGTTAAATAACATGCTACTAAGCAATGAATGGGTCAGCCAAGAAACCCAAGAGGAAATTTAAAATACATGGATAGAAATCAAAATGAAAACACAACCATCATTGGGTCACGGGGTGGAGGGAAGAGCAGGAGGGTGGGAGGCGCCGGGGTCACACGCGGAGGAGAGGAGCTACGACCAGCCGCGAGGGGACGCCGAGCAAGCGACTACCAGCCAACCAAGCCGCTGCCGCACCCCCATGGCGTCTCCAAGGACACCCATGAGGACCATGACACCTCCACTGAGAATGCAGATGAGTCCAACCACAATCCCCAGTTTGAGCCTATAGTTTCTCTTCCCAAGCAGGAAATTAAAACACTGGAAGAAGATGAAGAACTTTCTAAAATGCGGGCAAAGCTATTCCGATTCGCTTCAGAGAATGATCTCCCAGAATGGAAGGAACGAGGCACTGGTGACGTCAAGCTTCTGAAGCATAAGGAGAAAGGGACCATCCACCTCCTCATGAGGAGGGACAAGACCCTGAAGATATGCGCCAACCATTATATCACGCCGATGATGGAACTGAAGCCGACCGCGGGCAGTGACCGTGCCTGGGTCTGGAACACCCACGCTGACTTTGCCGACGAGTGCCCCAAGCCAGAGCTGCTGGCCATCCGCTTCCTAAATGCTGAAAATGCACAGAAATTCAAAACGAAGTTTGAAGAATGCAGGAAAGAGATCGAGGAGAGAGAAAAGAAAGGGTTGGGCAAAAACGACAATGCCGAGAAGGTGACAAGCTAGAAGCTCTCTCCACGAAGGAGGAGCCAAGGAGTCGTAAGATGCCAAGAACAAGGCTGGAGCAGAGGAGGAGCAATAAGCCACCTCCCCTTGACTTCTCTTCCTTCCGTTCTTTTCCTCCTTTTTCTTTTTTTAAATTTTGCCCTGCCCCTTCTTTTCAGTTTGTTTTTATTCTGTTTTGTTTTTACAAGGGACCTTATATAAAGAACTGAATTCCAACAACAACAACAAAAAGAAAACACAACTATCCAAAATCATGGAGATGCAGCAAAAGCAGTTCCAAGAGGGAAGTTTATAGCAATGCAGGCCTATCAAGAAGCAAGAAAAATCTCAAACAACCTAACTTTATACATAAAGGAGCTAGAAAAAGAACAAAAAACAAAACCACAAACCAGCAGAAGGAAGGACACAATAAACATTAGAGCAGAAATAAAAGATATAGACACTAAAAAAACAATAGAACAGATCAATGAAACCAGGAGTTGGTTCTTTGAAAAGATCAACAAAATTGATAAACCCAACAAGACTCATCAAAAACCAAGGAGAGACTCAAACAAAATCAGAAATGAAAGAAAAAAAAAACAAGTGACACCACAGAAATACAAAGGATTATAAGAGAATATTATGAAAAATTATATGCTAAAAAACTGGACAACCTAGAAGTAACAGATAAATTCCTAGAAACATGTAAACTACCAAAACTGAAACCAAAAGAAACAGAAAATTTGAACAGACTAACTACTAGCAATGAAATTGAATCAGTAATTAAAAAAAAAAAAAAGAAAAAACACTCCCAACAAAAAAAAAAGTCCACAACCAGATGGCTTCATATATGAATTCTAACAAATATTTAAAGAAGAGTGAATACCTATTCTTCTCAAACTTCTCCAAACACTGGAAGAGGAAAAAAAACTTCCAAATTGATTCTATGAGGCCAGCATTATCTGGGTACCCAAACCAGAGAAAGACACCATTAAAAAAGAAAACTATAGGTGAAAATCTCTGATGAACATTGAGGCAAAAATCCTTGACAAAATACTAGCAAACCAAATCCAACAATACATTTTAAAAAATCATTCACCGTGATCAAGTGGGATTTATTACTGGGATCCAGGTTAGCTCAATATTCAGAAATCAGTCAGTGCAATACTTCACATCAATAAGAGAAAGGATAAAAACTCTTTGATCATTTCAATAGATGCAGAAAAAACATTTGACAAAGTACAACATCCATTCATGATAAAAACTCTCAACAAAGTAGATTTAGAGGGAACATACCTCCACATAATAAAGGCCTTACGTGAAAAACCTACAGCTAACATCATACTCAATGGGAAAAAAACTGAGAGCTTTTCCCTAAGATCAGAAACAAGACAAGGATGTCCACTCTCACCACTTCTATTCAAAATAGTACTAGAAGTCCTAGCCACAGCAATCTGACAGCAAAAGGAAATAAAATTTATCCAAATCAGTAAGGAGAAGTAAAACTTGCACTTCATGCAGATAACATATTATATATAAAAAACCCTAAAGAGCCCACCAAAAAAACTACTAGAACTGATAAATGAAATCCGTAAGTCGCAGGATACAAAATCAATATACAGAAATCGTTGCATTTTAAACACTAAAAATGAAGTAGCAGAAAGAGAAATTAAGAAAACAATCCTATTTACAATTGCACCAAAATAATAAAATGCATGAGTAAACTTAACCAAGGAGGTGAAAGAAATGTACTCTGAAAACTATATAACACTGATGAACAAAACTAAAGAGGACACAAATAGAAAGATATGCCATGTTCCTGGATTGGGAGAACCAATATTGTGAAAATGTCCATACTAGCCAAAGCTCTCTACAGATTTAATGCAATCCCTATCAAAATACCAACAGTATTTTTCACAGAACTAGAACAAACAATCCTAAAATTTGTATGCAACCACAAAAGACCCCAAATACCCAAAGCAATCTTGAAAAAGAAGAACCAAACTGGATGTATCACAATCCAAAATTTCATACTACAAAGCTGTAGTAATCAAACTAGTATGGTACTGGCACAAAAATAGACACATAGATCAAGGGAACAGAATAGAGAACCCAGAAATAAGTCTACAATTATATGGTCAATTAATCTTACACAAAGGAGGCAAGAATATGCAATGGAAAAAGAAAACAAGTCTCCTCAACAAATGGTGTTGGGAAAACTGAACAGCTACATGCAAAAGAATGAAATGGGGTCACTTTCTTACACCATACACAAAAATAAACTCAAAATGGATTAAAGACCTAAATGTGAGACCTAAAACAATAAAAATCCTAGAAGAAAGCACAGGCATTAATTTCTCTGACATTGGCCATGGCAACATTTTTCTAGATATGCCACGTCAGGCAAGGGAAACAAAAGCAAAATTCAGCTATTGGGACTACATTGAAATTAAAAGATTCTGCGTGGTAAAGGAAACAACCAAGAAAACTAAAAGACAACCTACTTGGTGGGAGAAGATATTTGCAAATGACATATCCAATAAAGGCTTACTATCCATAATACATAAATACCTTATACAACTTAACACCCAAAAAAACCCCAAATAATCCAATTAAAGACTGGGCAGAAGACATGAACAGACATTTATCCAAAGAAAACATCCAGATGGCCAACAGACACATGAAAAGATGCTCAACTTCGCTCATCATCAGGGAAATGCAAATCAAAGCCACAATGAGGTATCACTTCACACCTGCCAGAATGGCTAAAATAATAAACACAAGAGACAAGTGTCAGCGAGGATGTGCAGAAAAAGGAACCCTCATGCACTGTTGGTGGGAATGCAAACTGGTGCAGTTATCATGGAAGACAGGATGGAGTTTCCTCAAAAAATTAAAAATACCCCATGATCCAGTCATCACACTACTGGGTATTTACCCAAAGAATACAAAAACACTAATTTGAAAATATATATGCACCCCTATGTTTCATGTAGCATTGTTTACAATAGCCAAATTACAGAAGCAGCCCAAGTGTCCACTGAGAGATGAATGGATAAAGAAGTTGTAATATATTCCATTATATATATTTTATATATATATATATATATATATATATATATACACACACACACACACACATTATATATGTAAAATATCCCACTGTATATATTATATACATAAAATTCCATTGTGTATATATATATAATTTTTTTTTAAAAGGGGGTGCCTGGGTGGTATAGTCACTTAAGCATCCAACTCTTGGTTTCTGCTCAGGTTGTGATCTCAGGGTCGTGAGATTGAGCCTTGCATCAGGCTCTGCATTCAGCAGGAGTCTGCTTAAGACTCTCTCTCCCTCATGCAAGCTGGTGCAGCCACTCTGGAAAACAGTATGGAGGTCCTCAAAAAGTTGAAAATATAGCTACCCTATGACCCAGCAATTGCACTACTGGCTATTTACCCCAAAGATACAAATGTACTGATTCAAAGGGGCACCTGCACCCCAAAGTTTATAGCAGCAATGTCCACAATAGCCAAAATATGTATTATGTATTATGCTAAGTGAAATAAATCACTCAGAGAAAGATATTATCATATGATCTCACTGATAGGAGGAATTTAAGAAACAAGGCAGAGGATCATAGGGGAAGAGAGGAAAAAATGAAACAAGATGAAACCAGAGAGAGAGACAAACCATAGGAGATTCTTAATCTTAGGAAACAAACTGAGGGTTGCTGGAGGGGAGGGGAGGAGGAGGGGGGATGCAGTGGCTGGGTGATGGACACTGGGGAGGGTATGTGTTGTGGTGAGCACTGGGTGTTGTGTAAGACTGATGAATCACAGACCTATACCCCTGAAACAAATAATACATTATATGTTAATTAAAAAAAATAAAAGACTCTCTCTCCCTCTCCCTCTGTCCCTCCCCCTGCTCTCTCTCTCTCTCTCTAAAATAAATAAATAAATCTTAAAATTATCCAAGAATACACTAATACACTGAGGCTTCTAATAATCTGTGTTTATACATCTCATTAAAAAATATTGAACTGGGGCGCCTGGGTGGCTCAGTTGGTTAAGCATCTGCCTTTGGCTCAGGTCATGGTCCCAGGGCCCTGGGACTGAGCCCCATGTTGGGCTCCTGAGCAGGGAGCCTGCTTCTCCCTCTCCCTCTGCCACTCCCCCTGCTTCTGTGCTCTCTCTCTCAAAAAAATAAATAAAATCTTAAAAAATATATTAAACCAAAATGTAAGTTTCTAACATATAAGAGTAAAAAATAATAGATCCTAGGAAAAAAATAATTGCCAGACCAATTTATGTTTTTGTCAGAGAGCAATTTCCCAGATTAGGCAGATATCCTCAACAATATTGAGTTGTATAATTAACAATACTGCCAATTTTTCTGAATGGTCATGAAATAAATGTTTGACGGTTATATTCAACCAGGCAAATATCAGTGATATTGGAACACCTGATAGAACTTTAAAGAGTGCCAACATACTTGGTAATTGGCAAAAAGAAAATTTCAAGGGATATGGGGCTCTCTCATATGAGATAATGCAAATAAAGCATTTGGAGAGGGAGAGAAGACAAGATGGGCTACAGTGAAAGTCAGTAAGTAGACCAGTGCTCCCCTCTTCCAACAAAGAATGAATTCATTCATACACTAGTCACCATTTCCTTAAATTCATCCAGATTGCTTATATTCTTTTTTAATTATCTAAAGAAATATTTGTAGAACTTTGTATGGTACTAAAAAATAATCTCTATTAATGGCCTACCATGGGTCAGGCACTTCATATGCATTACTTAGGTAATATTAAGTATGGCAAGCAGAATAATGACCTCCCAAAAACAACCATTTCCTAATACACAGAACCTCTGAATATATTAGTTTATATGGCAAAAGAGAATTAAAGCTGCAGATGAAATTAAGGGTGTTCATCAATGACCTTGAGATGGGGATATTATCCTAGATTATCCAAGTGGTCCAAATGTAACTACAAGGGTCCTTATAAGTGAAA